CAATCTCTCCTGTAGATCTGCAGGAATATATTCACAATTGCATATATTATATTTTATAATATACTACAACATTTGTTACCATCTATTTACTTCAGTTTAGGATCTTGTAGCTTAGCTTACTCTGTTTCTACAACTTATTGTACTTAATATTTTAATGTACTTATTGTTTATAATTTTAATAATTTTATTCACATTGTTTATAATTTTATCTAAATATGATATAACTTCCACAATTCTCTATATCTTTAAGTATCTTGTCCGTTCTAGCCCTGAAGACCTGCAAAGTCGGGTCGAAATGTTGGCTTTTAATAAAATAGTTTTGCCACTATTTATTCTATTTATGACCACCACCCACTATTAAGTATTCAATTTTACTTATTACAATTATTACTTTACTAATAACTATTTTTATTAATAACTTATCAAGGATTAATTTACTTATTATTAGTAGTAAGTCTACTACTAACGGATCCAGGATTTAATTTGGGGGAGGGGGGAGTTTAGCCCGAAAGGTTTTTTTTTTTCATGTATATAACGATAATTACTATGAAAAAAAAAGAAAAATACTAACTACCTAATTAAAACGGTGTTGAAGTGATTCTTGAAGTCCTATTAAATGTAATTACATGAACAAAAATACTTTAAGAGGTAATTTTTAAATATTATTTCCATACAACATGATTACATTTTACCATTTTGGGGGGAGAGCTTCAGCCTGAAAGGCCCCTTCTCCGTAGATCCACTTGTGAAGTCTACTAATAACAACTTCACTACTTCATTAATAACTTATTGATGTGCTTACTTATTTAAAAGCACAGTGATTATTATTAATGCGTATTTCTTGTTAACAACAAACAGAGGTAACCACGCAGGTTGCACCATCACAATTTTTGTTGGGGGCTCATTTTGACGTGATTTTGAATTTTTGAGAGGTCACTTTTCTACGAAGTTATGAACTTTTGGATTAAAAAGTTTCGAACAAGGAGACAAAAAGAATACTTGGAACAAACCTTAGGACGTATAATTGAATATGATTTACAGTACTTTCATTTCTAATGTTCTAAGAAGAGGAGAGCAATAAAATATCTTGAAGTGAGGAGGAGGTTCATGCGCCGTCGACTTTGGGAGGGGGTTCGGCACTCCTGCTGGTTATTACGTTATACTAAGTAATAATTTACATCAAGAGCTCTAATTAATTTTGCAACTAGTGTATGTTGCTATTTCTTTAATCTTTCCTCACGAAAACCACTTCCCATGAGACAAAATGTTACATTACTCAATGAAATAAAAAATAAAAATATTGTTACAAACACAGGTATTTCATTTGTTATATCTAAAACTATGAGATTAATTCCAAGAAAATACAAATATAAGTTGTAGAGGAAATGCATTTTCCAAGAAGTTCTGGCTTGGGTAGAGTAAAAAATGATTTAAAACACAAAAACCTATTTTTATTGAATTAATTTTTTTTATTGTACATAGGTGTGAATTTGATTTATTTACTTTAATTTCATCTAGCTTTTATCTATTATTTCATTTTTTTTTTTTGTACACAGGCATACCAATTTACTTATTTTATTTTTTTTTTTAATATTTCTTTTTCTTTATTATTGATATTAATTGTATGTACATATTGTATGAATGAATCATGTAGCCTTAAAATTAATGCCCTTCAATGTGGCAGAATGTATTAATATTCAATAAAGAACGTAAAAAAAAAAAAAAAAATTTTTTTTTGTTTAAATATGTTTATAATTGTAATTTATAAGAGGATTTTCAGAAGGTACTTTTAAATTTTAAATTAATACAATTTTTTTTAATTAAAATGAAAAAAATTGAAAAAACACAATTTTTAATTTTCTTGATACTAAGAAGTAAAAATAATAAACGTAAAAACAATAATGATGTAGAGATGGTTGACCGTTGATATAATATGAGAAGGAGTTAGTCGAGGGTGCGGTCAAATAAATAAAAATAATAATAATATAATGTATATATTTTAATAACAATAATAATAAAATAATGTATATATTTTAATTTTTTTATTTATTTGAACGCACCCTCGACTAACTCCTTCTCACGTAAAAACAATAAAATTAAATTTACTGAAAATATTTGAAAATGAAGGATCAATACTGTTTTCAAACTTAATAGTATACAGTTGGCTATATAATTCTATGTTAAAAATAAGTGGGTGACAAATGATCAAGATATGTAGTAATTTAGGTTGTTATTAGGTTTGCCGGAAGTTTCGACCTAGGCATGTGGATTATCACCAGAGAAATAGTTGCTGGCTAGATTTATAAGAACTTTCAACAGCCATTGCACCGATGATAATCAACAAGTCTGGGTTGAAACTTGGGAAAACATAATGAATCACTGAATACCATGATCATTGTCACGCGGTTCTATTGATTCATAAAATAGTTTTTAAAAGTTTTCTGCACTTCAAAGCCTTCTGGTCATGAGAACTCTCCTCCGTGAGACAGTGGGGTCATGTTTTGAGGTGAACTTATTTCCTCTTCTAGTTGATAAAAACGCTTTCTTTCGTTTTCCAAGTATCCATCTCTCAAGAGGTTATGCAGACAACAGCATGTTATTATGTTGTTGTTGCAGGTTTCGGATTTTACATTTATTGTTGAATAGAAAACCCAAAGATTTGGCATAATAGACCGAATGCATTTTCCGATACACAGTGCGCCCATGTAAGTTTAAAGTTGAAATTTGCTTTTGATCTGTCGTTGGACTGTAGCAGGACGGCTGAGCGGGTAAATGGCTTGATGTAACCGAAAGGCTTTTTCGCCAACCACTACAAATGGGCCCATGATTTCAGAAAAGGCAAGATCCTTATCTGGTGAGAAAATGTCTCCTTTCATGATTGATTTTCCCATTGCGGAGTTGTTAAAAAAACCCACTATCTCTCTCCTTTCCATACGAGCTAACATCTATGGTCATAAAGTTGTAATTTGCATCAACTAAAGCGAATAGTACGATAAAATAATAGTTTGTTTTTTTCAGATAAAGGGAACCACTTCTCCTCGGACATCGTATCCTTATATGTTTTCCATCAATAGCGCCACAACAGTTCGGGAAACCCCAAAGTTTGAGGAACTCTGCTAAGCTATTACGAGTAAGGAAGGTTGTCTGAGTTGGCGGAGGCATCAGTACAGGCACAAATTTTGGCGCAGTACTTGCAATGTTTGTTCGACTACAACACTTGCATAGCTTGGTGATGTGTGGAAAGCATACCAAAGCGACGTGAAACTTTCTCCTGTTACCAGGAACCTGTAAAAAAACAATAGGATACGATGTCCGAGGAGAATTGGCTCCCTTTATCGGAAAAAAACGAACCATGATCAATGTATGAAATAGAAATCAAAAAGATTAAAATAATTATCCTAATTAATAATCTATTTCTATTCCAGATAACCATTCATTGTAAGAAGAGATGGAAAGATATCCGTGATAACTATTATAAAATTCTCAGGAGAGAAAACTTCTGCTGCGCCCGTTCATCCAAAAAATGGCCTCTGTTCAACAGCCTCACTTTTTTAAATGAAGCAGAAAAGGAACGGTAAATTTTCTGCAGTATTTCCCCAGAGGGGACAGAAAATGTAGATATATTTACATCAGACAATGACGGAACCACTGTTGAAGTGGAAGACGAAAATCCTTCAACTAATGTTATACCTTCATCAGCCAGTGACTCGACTCTTTGTACGTTTCATAGTACCCCAAGTAAAAAATCTTGGGATATTAATAAAATGAGTGAAGAATGTCTCATGTTGTTGCAGCGTATGGCTGACAAACAACAACGAGATGATGATTTATGAGAAGCATAGCGGCTACTTTAAAAACGATGGCGAGAGACATCATTAACAAGGCGAAAATAGAAATATTAACATATGTGACTGAGCTTGGAAAAAGCTCAGAAATGGAAGTTTTTTGTGAAGAATAATCTGAAAGTTAAAATAATAAATTAGTTATACTAACTTTTGTTCTACTTTTACATAGTGTTTGATACTTTTCTTATATTGTCGATCTTTTTGTTTTTTTAAGTTAATTTTTTCTAATGTTTGTCTATCTACTGTCTAAGGTCTTTTAATTTTTCTATAATGTTTGCTAAATACCTTTGTCCTGACAATTTCCGAACCCAAGCTTCCTATCAAATAACAGATATGATTTTATTAAATTAAATTTTAAATCTATCCATATACTAATATACCTAATTTATATCTATGAAATACGTCTAATTTTATGAAAGCAAGGAATTAAAAATGTGACCATTAAAAACATAAAAAACCGATTTTATTTTAACACAGAGGTAGCTCACCTCCTTATGCATATTCGGACATTTTGTCTCCATGCGGAAATCAAACTCATGCTGTAGCGGTCTGAATCCTCGGGGAGCGGATGTACTTATTTAATTTTAAAATTATTTATCACTATTATTTTTATAACAATTTTACATTATAGCATCTCTTGAAAAGGATTCAAACTTATAACTAACTGTTGGGTCTCGTTAAAAAACAAAACAAGCCTCTATACATTATGTGTGTATTTTTGCAGGTGCCTTAACTCACTCGACCACCACAGCTACCCAAGGCATCTAATCTCTTAAATGCATTTCTTTTTATCACTTTATATTTCATTCAATGATTATATTTAACTTATTTGTTTTATTAAAAGCCACAAATTTTTTGAAACTGACACGTGTGCCAATAAGTGAGGCAGGTAAATTTATTTATATTTCATGTGGGTATTTTTAATTGTTTAAATATAGCTATATATATACAAATTTTAAATACACATGGATGTACACACACACACATACATATCATTTGATGATACTTGGTTATTTGGACTCTGGAGACCTCAATATTTGTATTTCCATTGAAAACCCGGATTCAAAATTTTCACGATTGCAATACTTTCCCTTGTTAAATATTTCATAAATAGGTAAGGTAAGGGAAAGTAAAAATAATTCTTTAATTTCCATATATAACTCAATTTATATATCTTTTTTACAAACATTAATAAAAACACTTAAGTTTTAAACATGACTTAGATTTTCATTGATAAAATAACAAAATGAGAGTGTAAACATGAAATATTACACAGAGTGTAAAGCTTACAAACAATATTACTATGTCTTAACTAACTGAAGTCATAAATTATGAATCATATAACTAAATAATTAAAGAGAACCAATTGATTATTTAAAGTAACTTTTACTACATAGCCTGTAAAATACACCAAAATTACTTTAATAACCTAAAATTAAAATAAAAAAATTTGTAATTTAGCTCTTTAAAAGTGTTTCATTATTTCAATAAATAAATAATACAGACTAATTGCAAAATAGCAACAGTTACTGAAGCATATATTTTCTAAAAAGACATATTTGTTTTGTACATGATGTTTCTTTATATAATAAAACAGTATAAAAAACTTGTATCAAAATTATTAAAATTTTTTGTCTATATTAAAATGTCTTTTAAAATTTATTGTTGAAATGCTCGACCCCTTCCAGAAACTGGCCAGATAGGCTCTTCAGCTGAAGATTTTTCTACAGTGAAACCACGTCCTAAAAAATAAAATTAACAATTATGATTATTCTATAGATAACACTGCCTTGTAAGAATAACTTAGGGAAATGAACAAACAAGTAGGGGACGGCCTAGTTACCAAATAAACTGAGGTAAACTTTACCAATGATATCATGATCAATTTGGTAGTACTAATAAAGTAAATATATCCTCACTCACTTCTTTCCCAAAATTAATAGAAAAACAGAAAGGTGATAGGTTTGATAGCTCAAATTATTGGGTATTATTATTATTAAATTTAAATTAATATATATATATATATATATATATATATATATATATATATATATATATATATATATATATATATTTTGTAATGTACACCTTTATTGGAAGTGAGTAAAAAGGGTTTAATAAATTAATGTTTAACAATTAGAAGGCAAGCTAATCTAGTTCTACTAGTACAGAGAAAAGAAAATGGCTGCTCTGTAGTTTCCCAAGAAGGAAAATCCCAAAGAAGAGAGGGACAAAGGTTTTTGTTTTGGCAAATAGTTTTTTTGGCTGGGGCGAAGAGAGGATGGGAGAAGTGATCCTGGCTCCAGTGGGTAAAACCCAGTAATAGTATTACCATTTTGGAAGTTGTGTTTGGCAGAACATTAGAAAGTATTTGAAGACAAATGAATTTAGGGCAACAAAGGAAGAAATAGTATCTACAGAGAAAAGGTTAGCTTGTCAATCCAGATTTGACTTTATTTTAAAATCAGTGTTTAATTTTACTATAAATAGTGTAAATAATAATAGTTTGTCTGAGTTTATCTGATTGTCAGAAACCCACACCTGAGATAAATAAATATATTATTATTCTTATAATTATTTATAGTTTATTATTATAACAATCTCTTGTTTCTTTTGGAAGTATCCTAACGGATAAAGTGATGTTCCGAGGTTATATTATTATTATTTGTAAAATAAAAGAGGGATGTTATAATATATATATATATATATATATATTGATAATTTAAATTCAGAAACAAACAATAAAATGTTCAAAAACAAAACATAAGAAAGATATTCAGTAGCTTACCTGATTTAAAAATTACATTTAAATCCTCAGGCAAGTATTAATGCAACTTCTATTTTCATAAAAAAAAATAATAATAAAATAAGGGAAAATGTGACCTGAATGATCTTTTTACCTGTCTTCAATTGAAATTTTTCTATGGCTACGACTTGGCATTTGTTTTTGGGTAATTAATTTGCCTTCTCAGTTTTTTAATAAAATTGTTCTTTTAGAGTAAGATAATTATTTTTTCTAATTCATCCTATAATTACTAAAGTGGTGACCCCCACGTCATATGATATCTGTGAGTGGATCATTTTAATATTTAATTATGATTACTATTTAGTGTAAATGAGTATGACTAAAGATCTACTGGGGGACTTTTGGCAATGAACGAGTGTTTTACAGAGATTTCTATTGTGGGAATGATGCACATTGTATAAACAGACTAAATGAATGTTTTTAATCCTGATACTTTTTTTTTTTTATGAAAATGAAAATAATTTTAGCGAGTGACATATTTTATTTTTTGTTCAATATTTTCTTTTTTAAGAATCTTAATTTACAATATCATGGTCACGAGCTTTACAAGTCGCAATAGATGCAGTCATTAAAATTCAGAAATGGAGACGGCTGGGGAAACACTTAAAATGAAACATAGCTGCATAACCCAGCAGAGTCTATAGTGGAATCCACAAGGATAGCGAAGATGCGGGTGGCCAAAAGAAACGTGGAGACACTGGAGAAGGAGATGCGCTGTGTCGGAGAGACCAGATCTGAAGTTAAGGAGCTTGCTAGAGATCAAGATGTCTGATGGAACTTCGTGAGGGCCATATGTTCTACCTAAGAGATTTAGGGAATTAATAATAATAATAGGACACATTTGTAAAATCCCTCAGACGTGGTTAAAACATTTGTTGACCTAGTATCACCAAAAAAGTTTTATTGAAATCAATGATTCCATGTATGTAACCTCCCCTTGTTAGTGGTGAACCTTAGGAGCTACAGATTTGAGGGATGTTGATTGAAGACACAGAGGATTAACTCTGACTTGAAATTCCTTTCTTTTAGAAAGTTTTGCAGATATACCCTCAATTTTTCCCAAACTAAATAGATATTTGTATTAATTAAATTACTTTATTTTTCAATGATTAAATGAAATAAAGGATTATTATTATTATATAGTCCTTTAAGATTTGTATTACATATCCCCACATCATGGTATTGTAAGCTTTTTCCAAGCCTAAGAAGATAGAAATCAAGGGCTCTTTTAATGAAAAAGCTTTTTCAGCTTCATACTTAAGAAGCGAAATTGCATCAGTGATAAACTAACTTTTCTAGAATCATATTGAGGAGGAAATAGTTTCTTATTTCTATGACTTTTGCTATTTCTATAAAGTTTCATTTATCTATTAACATCCCGAACTATTTGAAGGAAGTTAGTTGACTGTTCAACATGGGTGACAGTCAGGACGCAGTCATTTTTAAGATTTTTATTGATGCCGACGTTTCAACCCAAGCATGTGGGTCATCTATCAGGGCATGTTTCGAGTGATGAAGGTGTTCAAGTCTTACTTTAAGTGTACATATTTATACATGCAATTTTGTAGACATTTGTATGTATGTTATATTTTTTTTTTAATATACTTTATCACAGAAAATAATTACTAAGACATTACCGCGTCCAAATCCTTTTCCTTTTACGATGCACCATTCATTTTCATTGGATTCTTCTTTTGTTTCCAGAGAGCTTTGAGAACTACTGGCACCTTCTTGACTGAATCTGGCACCAATTTTGTTGCTATAACCTGAAAATATACTGTATTAACAATCACTTCATAAAAACAAATAAATAAATATATATATTTACCCTATCACATACCAGGTATGTAAATATGAAACAAATTTATCAATAGATGGCTCTAGTTGTTAAACCCTTAAACCACACTATTAGCACCATTTTCTTTCTTCAAAAGCTGGCAAAGATTTCCAACTCACAACAATACAAGTTTAATAAAACAACATGGCTTTAATAGCGTTGAATATATTGAGGTTTGTGCCTACAAACTACGATTTGAGGAGAGAGCATTAGGTTTTTGATCCCATTTAAAAAAAATTCTGGCAGAATTTCATCAAATTCTTGTGGGTGAGCATGTTTTAGGTTCAATAACAGTCAGTACTTTTAGTGGTTTAAAAATCCTTAAAGGGATTTTGATATGAGAAATGAAGAATGTGGAACGTGGATGTGATATTAATAAGATCTACACAAATCTGTTTAAACCATTATTAATGAATACTATCGACTAAAAATTATCAATTTGAATTGAATATTGTGTGAAAAATGATCAGAATACTAAAAAAGGCAACAAAAAGTGATTTGCTTAATGATAATGCACCAGCACACACATCTAAACCTGTGAAGAAAATGATTGAGGGGTTCTGGTTTGGTAACATATGCATACCTGGTTCCGTCTGACTGCTATCTACTTCCTTTGAAAAGACATAAACTTGCTTAGTAGCAGGTTTATTTATTATGAAAATGTATCAAAATGGCTTGATGACTGGTTCGTCAGAAAAGAGCAACAGTTTTTCAAGCACAAGAGTAATAATAATTCACCACAGAGATGGAAAAAATGTATAACTAGCAATGAACAATATTTCGAATAAAATATTTTTATATATATATACATTATTGCAATAAACTATGTATGTATAGTTATGAACTATACATTTTTAAAATTTGAGTCTCCTGACATATTAGTCAGGGAAAACTATCATAAAATAGGGAAACATCAGGGAATTTTATTTTGACAGTTTGGTAGCCACCCTATATAAACAAAAAACAATCTATATTACTGTACCGCACTTTTAGATTACCAGGTGAATAAATATGAAACTAGAATGTTTGTATCGAAAATACATGTTTTTTTCATAAAAATGTTAAAAAATATTTTATTCGAAATATTGTTCATTGCTAGTTATACATTTTTTCCATCTCTGTGGTGAATTATTATTACTCTTGTGCTTTAAAAACTTGCTCTTTTCTGACGAACCAGTCATCAAGCCATTTTGATACATTTTCATAATAAATAAACCTGCTACTAAGCAATATATATGCATGTGTATATATATATATATACACACATATACATGCATAGAGTCATGATTTAGAACAGAAAGAATTAATTATAAAAATTAATTTTTCTGCAAATTCTCGGAAATGACATATGTAGTTATAATTGATTTATAACTAAGCTGATATGAACATATGAAGACCAAGCTGATTCTATACATGACCTTGTAAGGTCTGTTTTGACATATGGCTCAGAGGCTTGGACGATGACGAAAAGTGATGAAACAGTTGGTTTGTAACTTTGAGGCAGGATGGCCGATTGTTCCAGTCAATGAATCATTATAGAAGGAAATGGCAAGGACACAATTTTTGACTATAGAAAATTGTTTGAACTAGTTAGGATGTAAACATACAATAAGTTCCCACTCCTAGGTGGTGAGCTAGAAGGGACCTAGATTACTTGTTTCAGGTTTTCACTTATATCTAGAAAACTACCCATCCTATTGACTAAGACGTTCTAAACAAAATTAAAGCTAAAAAAATTGCACTATGATTGATTATATACCATTTTTCGCTATCTCCATTTGTTTCTGAGATATCTGTCCTCAATTATCACTAATATGAAAAAAAAAAAAAATGTTTACCTCATGTTTTTACTATATTTGACTAACTAATTCTTGACTGCTTAGCTCATCATTGACTGCTAGAATAAGTCATGGGTAAGAAAGTTTTTAACAATTAAATTTTTTCAATAATATATATATAATTTTACTTGTTTATTTTCAATGGTTCAAAGTTTAAATCAATTATACATACATACATATGAGGCACGACATCCCGTTATCGAGACTGGGCCTGCTCCAAGAGCCTCCGCCTGTTGGCTCTGTCTTCTGTTGCAGCTCTCCAGTTCCGTACGCCAACCAGGGTTCCCACCTCATAGGCCACGTTGCCCAACCATCTCGTCCTCGGCCTTTCTACCTGTCTTGCGAGGTGCAGCTCCTCCATCATTATTTTCTTGGGTATTTCAACGGTGCTCATTCTGGCCACATGCCCTGCCCACCTTAATCTGGCAAGTTTAATATATGTGACTACGTCGATGTCTGTATAAAGAGAACTGAGCTCCCTATATTTTCTTTTCCACCAGACATCACCCTCCTTTACTGGACCTTAAATCCTTCTGAGGACTCCTCGCGCGAACACACTCAGCTTCATCTCATCACTTTTCGTCATCGTCCAAGCCTCTGAGCCATATGTCAAAACAGGCCTTATAAGGGTCATGTATAGAATCAGCTTGGTCTTTATATGTTCATATCAGCTTAGTTATGAATCAATTATAACTACATATGTCAATTCTGAGAATTTGCACAAAAATTAATTTTTATAATTAATTCTTTCTGCTCTAACTCATAACTCTATGCATGTATATGTGTGTATATTAATAGCGAAAATGACATGGCTCAAGAAATACAGAGAAGGATCACGGCTGCCAATAGATGTGTCTTTGGACTTGGCCGGCACTTAAGAAGTAGGTATCTCTCAAAGAAGACCAAGCTGATCATATACAAGACCCTTGTACGGCCTGTTTTGACATATGGCTCAGAGGCTTGGACGATGACTAAAAACGATGAGATGAAGCTGAGTGTGTTTGAGCGAGGAGTCCTCAGAAGGATTTATGGTCCAGTAAAGGAGGGTGATGTCTGGAGGAAAAGAAAAAATAGGGAGCTCAGTTCTCTTTATACAGACATCGACGTAGTCACGTATATTAAACTGGCCAGATTAAGGTGGGCAGGGCATGTGGCCAGAACGAGCACCGTTGAGATACCCAAGAAAATATTGATGGAGGAGCTGCATCTCGCAAGGCGGGTAGGAAGGCCGAGGACGAGGTGGTTGGACAACGTAGCTTATGATGCGAGAACCCTGCTTGGTGTACGAAACTGGAGAGCTGCAGCAGAAGAAAGAGCCAACTGGCAGAGGCTCTTGGAGGAGGCCCAGTCTCGGTAATGGGATGTCGTGCCACATATGATGATGATATATGTATATATATATATATATATATATATATATATATATATATATATATATATATATATATATATATATATATACAGATATACATACATACAATAAGGTATATTATGTATATCAAACTTTTGAACCGTTGAAGATAAACTGATAAAATAATACATATTCTTCAAAAAAATCAAATTAATCATAGAAACGAAGTAGTAAAGAGTCCGCTAGTTAAATACAGTAAAAAAACATGAGGTAATCTTTTTTTTATCACATTAGTGATAGTTGAGGAGGGATATCTCGGAGACTAAATTAAAATCCTAACAAATATATAAACAAACACAATTTAAATATTCAATATTATATTTGTTAATTTTACAATAATTATGTTGAAGTTTTACACAATAAAAATTCCCGACATTTGTTAGTCCATCGCCCTCCCCCCACGCTCCAATCATAACCCCCTCATTAAATCCTTTTCGAACATTAACTGAGTGGACTAGATGTGGCTAACACTGTTTAAGACACGCGTTTCCCGGCGATATTACTAAGTTAGGCGAAATAATTACGAGTTGGTATTCTGGTACCAGGGAGTTTTTTACTTCCACTTAGAAAAAGCCCAGTATAATGAAAATAACCAAGTAAAGTTAAATGTTAATAATTAGTTTTGGCGGGAATAGGGAATAGTCTTCCGCTTTTATATTGGGGAACTAGATTATTTACACTCGTGAATATTAAAACAAAACCCCGGCACTGGATATAGACTTTTTTGAGGGTGTTTAACTGTTGTCGGGATTTCGGGAATCTAATACCTTTTTGTGACACTGAGTGAGAAGAAACAATAAGAATATTTATATGAAATGAGGGACTGAGTAAATACACTTTGAATTAATTGGCTCACCTGGTTTGTTATTCTTCAATTGTGAGGCATATAGGACAACTAAATAAAATGAGTTTTCACTCCTGTATAATAAAATAATTTATTTCTACAACTGTAATAAATTGATGTATACAAATCTTATAACTGTAGGCTTGATATTCTTGGTCTTCAATGTAGTAAGCCTCTCTTCCCAGATGACGTCTTCGTGTCCAAGCCTCAAGTGCTCTTCTCGGCGTCCTTCTGCCAGCTGTTGCTAGCTACCTTCTCTGCCCTTTTTCCAGCGTCCTTCTTCATCGATTGTTTATCAATATGAGACTTTTCCATGAATAATTTGTCCACTGCTAATTAAGTACAATTCATCGTGCAACCTCACATTCCTATATGTTATATATTCCTTCTCATTCCCTCACCCAATGTCACACAAAGGAGTAAATACTGGGGGATGTCTACTACAATAGCCTCAATGGTTTACAAGGGGTGGACCCAAAAAAAGGTCTGCCAAGTGAGGCCAATATAGCTTTCTCACTGTTTTTATTGGTTCCACACTTATCTATATCTTAAGGTCTACTACTACTAATACTACTTTTACCAATTCTCCACTTTCTTCTAACTTTGAGATAAATCGAATGAGCCATTTCTGAAATACCGGCCTTTCTTATAAAATTCATATTCGCGTGTGCGACCGAAAATACTATAAAGAATTTAATAAAAGCGGTACACCATTACTTTACCAAAACTCACCTTTTTATTAACTTTGAGCCAAATCGAACAAGCCGTTCCATGAATATCGGCATATCTAAAAAAATATATATATACGCGTGCGCAACCGGAAGTACTGTACAGAA